TTAATAACTTTATGTTTATTATTTTATAAATGTTTACTAATTGATTGAGAACACTGAAAGAGATTGAAAACATTCGTCAGGGACATTTGGTGAAATGGTTCTAGGTCTCCTTTATAGTTCTCACCAAGGCCCCCCAAAATTCTCCAATATACCAATATTTTCCAAAAGTTATTTTCTAATGTTAACTACTTTATAATGATTTTCCTAGCAGATGTGCGAAGCTGGCATATCTAATGAACTTAGTGTTTCCCTACTAAAAATTATGTAGCATTCTTCTGTAGAAGTCTAACCTGTATTTAACTTGAAATATCTGAGACATGGAGTATTAACTTGAACAAGCATTTCTTAGTGACGATCATTAAAAATGTTTTTCTTCGATGAGAGTGAACTGAAATTGAGCACCAGTTGCAGTAATATAATTGTTCTCTCCTGGGTTATAGCAGGGACATCTGTTGTGACTCTAATGCCCAGTGACGAAAGATGTCATGACAGGGAAGATTACTGCAGTGTTTTTATGTAAAATATAACAAGTTAAGTAATTAAGGTTATGAATCAAACCAAATTAACTGCACACAGCTGTAAGAAGCTTAGTGCATGCCCAAATGATGGATGGGAAAGTTTTTTGTTTCACTGGTGATTTACCTAAGGTGAGATAAATGTCCACACACAGCCCAGTGTCTGTCAGCTCTTGGTCATTTATTTCCCTGTCCCTTGGACTCTGTGTTGCTGCTTAGGCAACCTTATAATTAGTAGGAAAGAATTTCAGCTGATATTTTAAAATGAATGCCTACAATGACTTGTAAAGATTGTAGGTATGATGATTATAAGAAATTATAATAGTTCTCCATAGGAGAAAACAATTCAACGTAATATTTGAACAATCCTCCCTCCCTACTCATGAAATTCATTCCTGTAAATATAGTGATTGCATTACATTTTTACATTAAATAAATCCATCCTTTGGCTTAATCAGATTCAAATTTTTAAATATTGTTGTTCACGTGACACAGGAGAGAACCCAAGTAGCAGGAGAAGTCCTATTTGCAAGATCACAGAGGCGGTAACTGGTAGATCCAGGAAAACCGTGAAAGAAGCAGAGAAATAGTCAGGTTTACAGAATCCTCCGGCCAGCACGGCCAGAGTGTTGGAAAGCACGAGTGGGCCAGAGTGAAGAATAAGAAGGTCACATCAGGCACAGATTTATAAGCCACAGCATGTAGGGGGTTCCTTTCTAATAAAGCCGAACGCAAGCTATTTTGACAGTACTACAGAGGAAGACGTGTCTACACAGGCCAGGCAGTGCAGTGTGTTCTGCCTCGAAGAGCGAGAGAAAACTCCAAAAGGAGGTACTTGAATTTTCTGTAGGCTTTAATGGACACGGAGAGAAGCAAGGCATTTACAAGTGGTGGAAACTGGGGAACGTGGATGGGCGAACACAGTGTTTGTGAAGAGAGCCAGCAAGGGCATCTAAAGCCGGTCAGCGCAGCTGGAAAGAGGCAGAGCACAAAGGTTAATACCGTCTTCCTCTTCGGGGTCTTCCTGAAAGAGTCAAGAGTGTCACATCGCAGTGACCCATGCGTGCCCATGGTTACGGCAGCACAACAGTAACAGCTAAATGTTGGGAGGGCCTGTGTGTCCATCAGCAGGTAAATGCAATCCTGGTGCTCACACATAGTGCAGTACTACACTTCGCCACAAAGGAAGAGAAACCTGAACATTTGGCCGCAGCTTGAGACCAGAGTGCTAAGTGAGGTACACAGACGGACACGGGCGGAAATGCGGTAGGGCTTCTCGGATTTGAAAAACCCAAAGCGAAAATAAAGACCAGACAGGGAGGCAGATGACAGGAAGTGGAGAGAGGGTGGGTCTCCAACGGGAAGGGGAGCAAGGTATGGAGGGAGGGGACAGAGGAAGGGAAAGGATGGCAGAGGAGGGGAGGGATGGCGCGGGGGGGGAGGGATGGCAGAGGAGGGGAAGGGATGACGGAGGAGGGAGAGGGATGGCGGAGGAGGGGGAGGGATGACGGAGGAGGGGGAGGGATGGCGGAGGAGGGGGAGGGATGATGGAGGAGGGGGAGGGATGGCGGAGGAGGGGGAGGGATGATGGAGGAGGGGGAGGGATGGCGGAGGAGGGGAAGGGATGGTGCAGGAGGAGAAGGGATGATGGAGGAGGGGAAGGGATGACGGAGGAGGGGGAGGGATGATGGGGGAGGGGGAGGGATGGCGGAGGAGGGGAAGGGATGACGGAGGAGGGGGAGGGATGGCGAAGGAGGGGAAGGGATGACGGAGGAGGGGGAGGGATGATGGAGGAGGGGAAGGCGAGACAGAGGGAGTCGGATGTGCTCCGCTCACAGGAATGTGCATGCTGCTTATGGAAATGCAGGCTCATCAAAGAGGATAAAGAAAAGTCAGTTTTCAGGAGACTGATCAAGAGCTGCCATCAGGGCTACCGGATTGAACTTCAAGGACTCAGGGACATTGGCCTGCTGAGTCTGGGGTGTGAGCGTGGACCCACAGGGTAGAGAGAGGGCCAGGTAGAGAGAGACCACCGGGGCAGCCAGTCCGGCCATCCGTTGCCTCGGAGGGCGCAGAGGAGGGGTCTCTGGGCCGCATGGGTGCTGTCTCCTGAGGGCCCCCGAGGGGAAGAAGGGCTAAAGCACAAAGGGACTTGTATAAGGGGACAGCCGAGCACCGAGAGGATGGCACGCCAGCCCTCCAGCTCAGCTAAAGCTGTTTCGAATCAGCAGCCGAGAGCTATGGAGAGAGCCAGGCCTGCCCGTAACAGGCATTTAAGTATTTACCCTGCGAGCACGGATTACTAGAAGGATTAGAATCCTGTGCATTGTACAGAAGATGTTAGGAGGATCAGATGACACGAGATATACCAAAGCTCTTGTAATAGACGCGTTGTGTAAATAGAAGCCATTAATACCATATTTAATCCGTGTAGAAAGACTGCTCTTTCTGCATCGTTGCCGAAACAATGTCATCGGCCCAGACTCTGAAAAGCTTTTTAGAAAGTGGCAGCTTCCTTTTTACATAAAATAAAATAAAATAAAATAAAATAAAATAAAATAAAATAAAATAAGAGAGCATTAGATATAGTTTATATGTGCATATAACAAAGAGATGGGGAATAAGAGAATTTGGAAATGCACCCTTGTTTGTCAGGCAAGCGCGATACAAGAAGTGTGGATGATTTTTTTTATCTAAGGTCTAGGCCATCTTTAAGTGTCTTTAATTGGTTCTGTACAGCTGAATTTTCATGAAGAAAAATTGATAATTACTAGTACCAGGAGGCTCTGGCGATCAACAAAATGGCACCATGGCCCTTCATCCAGATGGGACTTTCTGTTGAAGTGCTCCTCCCATCCCCCCCGGGAGGAGAGGCGGGCACAAGGTCTGCTGAAGAGAGCCTGGCCTTTGCACAGGCACCGCTCTGCCTGCCAACACCAGTCCTGCGGCTGGGGCTTGGGGACATCGGGCCGGAGACACAGCTCTCCGGGGCTCAGTGGCTGCCTTGTGGATGAGCGGGTGAATGCCTCTCTCCTCGGTGGGGATTAGGGAACGTGGGTTACTAAACCCCGAGGCTGAACACCAGGCCTAGCACAGGGTGGCTGAGGGGTGAGCCATGGCTCTGCCCTTTCTGGTTTCAGGAGTGTACATGTCTCTTGTGTGGTGATTCTTGGAAGACAAAGGTGTTGAATAAATATTTTTGCAAGACAGGGAGGAAGGGAGGAAGAAACAGAGGAAGAGCTAACTGGTGTAGGCTGGGGCTTGCATTGGCAGTCTTGTTCTCTAAGGTGCTTGTAGGGTTATTATTTCTTAACGAGCTGAGAACAGAGTAAGTGATCAAGCGGCAAGTTTTATTCAGTCGTTGGAAATAAAGTGTAGTATTACTTATTTAGGAAAAGAAGACCACAGCGTTTTACCAAACTCAGCCCAGTCCTGCTTCTTAATCTTTCTTTGCTGGGGCATGCCTGGACCATTGTCCTGTAGCACGGAATGTTTGGTCTGACAGAATTTAATCTCAAAGACCAGCAAAATGCAGCACGGTAAGCAGGCTTCCTTCCCAGCACTGAGCTGTGTAAGGAGCGCTGTGCTGTTTCCCCCGACCTCGCTGATCCCGCCCCACCCTGTTTCTCAAAGTCCTGTTCCCCCATCTCCCGCTCTCCCATTTCTGCGGAACTCCCCACAGGAACTGTGTTAAAGGAAGAAATGTTGCCCTGGAGTCTGTGCTTCACCAAATTTCTCCTGTCTTCTGCTGCCATCTGCTGGGACGCCCTCTTCCTGAGTCTTGAAGAGACCTTTAAAATCTACTGTAAACTTCCTAGTTCTACCTTTGTACGTGGCTGTGCTTCAGGCTGTAAAGGAAGTTTGTAACTTGGAGAAAAAGAAAAACATGTTTTTACAGTAGGAAGCAAGCAAGGCTCGTGGTGATTGGCCTCCTGTCTGAAATAATACTTTGCCTTGTACACACTGGCCGCCTCGCTCTGTCTGTTACTCAGCCAGGACTCATTAATGTCTTGTCCAGGCCAAAAACCACAGAAGCCCCCCCAATCAGCAAGATAGAGTCACTGCTCCCTAAAAGTTTATTTCCCAGGAGGGGAAAATGTCAGGACGGAAGGAGACAGATACAGTGAAATATGTAGCTCTTTCTATAGAAATCTGATCGCAGAGGGTAAATATGGTGGCTGCTACCCCCAAACTGGGTTTCTAGCAAAAGTGAACGAAAAGCCAGGCAGAAGACAAGTGTTCCTCAAGCGAGCAGCTGGGGATTCTGGCCAGAGTCAGTCCTAGAACAAAGACATTTGTTTGTAAAGAAAAACATGTGTTTTTATTGGCAGAACAGTTTCTTCATTTTGCCTTGTAATTTGCTAACGCAGACTTTTTAATTTTAAAATAAATACCAGGTAATAACCATATCTCAATACATGGAAACGAGACACAATGATCTTGGTAATGAGCTTGGTGTATAGCACTAAGTACTGTGTTTTTCAGATCACGACTTTGGTGTTAAGGAAGACCTCATATTACTGGGCCCCGGATAACTGGTTTCCTGTAGTGCTGACCCTGACCGCAGCGCTTTTCCTGATGTGCCTGTACACTCTTGCGTGGTGCCTCTTCAAAGAGTAAGATTTTAGCTGTTGTTCTCATTCTATTTTGTTCATAGCTCATAAAGTCCATCGAAGATGTCTTTAAAAGAGCAGGATGAAAGGGGAGAGAAAAGCTTGTGGAAATCCACCGATTACTTTTAGTGCCGTAGAGATGTTATCCTCACTGGCAATCACAACAAAGCTGTCCTATGAGTGTTTCAGAGCAGGATTTGGGCTGTTAAGCAAGACCTGGTTCAAAAGCATTGTTAGTTCACCAAATGCTCAGTCAAATGATTCAAGCAGAAAACCATTTGGGGGGAAAAATAAGGAAGGAAAAGAAATGAGATTTCTGATTTCCTACAGAAAACATTGAAATGGAAAATAGCTGGTCTGTGCATAAACAAGCTCAAGATATCTGATTATATTTACTTTACATTTACTATCAAAGGAGGATTAGATTCATCTAGAATTACCTGCCGGGCCCTTGTGGCTCAGATAATGTGACAGGTAGCCAGGGATGGAAGAAGAGTAAAGATACAAAATGTATTTGATATTTTAGCTGCATGTAAGGCCGATTAATTTTCCTTCTGAGAAGTGTAAAGATGGAAACAGCTTGATAGAAGCTCTGCATGTTTATTCTCTACCATAAGGTTGCTCTTGGAAGATGAAGTGTAGATTCCGCCAGGTAATGTAGTGAAATCCAGAGGTGACCGTGTATGTGTCCGCACGGCAGCACAAACTTACAAGGCCACTGAAAAGAGGCAACCCAGTGAATACACAGCTGCCTCTGTGGGCAACATTAGCTTCAAACAGTATTTGGATTCATGATGATGATATCATTTTCCTGAATTAATAATTTAATATCTTTTTGAAAAAGCAAAAGAGGCAGTGAATTGGGAAAGTATAATAGATGGGTGTAAAAGTCTTGTTGTCTCCATTTCCAGCTCTTCTCTACCATGAGGTTCTAATCTGAAACTAGGGTAGGATGGACGGTGCCCTGTAGGTCGGCCATGCTGACAGGTGCATGATGGGAACAGGGTACTGGCTCCAATGGCGGTCAAGCTAGACGCTTCTGTCCAGTTACCCAGCGGCAGCCGCATGGTAGTGGCAGCCTCATGGTGTATATTATTTTTTCTTGAATGTAAAGATGGCAGAGAAATCTGATACATTTTTAATATCCAAGACCTTGTTTTCTACTTTTTTCCTCCTTTTCCCAAATTGGGCACAGATTTTCTTTTATAGAGATGCTATGAATTTATTAAAGGATATGATATGCATTTTAATATTCAAACAAAATATTAATGGGCATTATGCTTAGGTTCTGTTTTGCTTTTATGTTTTGCATGGTAGTGCTAACTTGTAAGCTGAGTGCTTTTTGATTAAAGTCAAAGTATGAAACTAATTTTGATCATTTTTGATAAAAAACGCACTTAGTTTCTTTGTAAATGTCCTCTCCATTATTTCTATTCCTTCACATATAGTGTGCCTGCTTGCTCCAGATTATTCCCTCACTGTCACGAATCGGGTCAATCGAGTCCCACTGCCAAGGAGCCTGGGCTGGTACCAAGGTAAAAGTCGGTTTGATGTTTTGCAGAGAGAAGCTTTTTTAGTTGATTCCTAAGTGCTTCAACACATTCCAAATTTAGGGATAAAAATTGATTTTAAAATTATTTATCAAGATTTTAAAAGTTTTATCTTAATACATGAGTGTTAATGGACCACTGAAAATTCTAGAGAGGAGGACACAGCAGAAAACAAAACCAGGTTTAACAGTGAGCTCTGGGATGCTGTCCTGGATAGACAGTAGGATCATCGTTGAGTTGCCATTTAATGATGAGAAATGAGACTCTAAAACAAAATTGATGAAGTTTTGACCAAAAGGAGCATCAAAATAACTTATTTCTATCTAGAAGATAAGTTAGCATCACAAATTATTAATAATAAACATCTATTAATCTGAACTGAGAATATAAATTACTGTGACTTACACAGGAATCTATTAAGAGACACATTAAGGATTATTTAAATATAGCATTATTGATTTATAAAGGCAAACTATTGCATCATTCATTAATTATGCATATCAATGCTAAATATATCTTCTGTCTTAACCATCAAAATAAAGAGCTTGAATATTTATTTAATGCTTTTTGTAGGCATGGAAACTCACTGAGTAAAGACCCCAAAACAAGCACAAAACTGAGTCTGCTGCCTGGAAATCATCAAGTAAGTGCCGTTAGAGAAACCACATTATAATTACTAATATGGTCTGTTTTCTATCTTTTCTTTTCTTTCTTTCTTTCCTTCTTTTGGTCAGGTTCAGACAATGAAAGGCATTTGCATATAATTTAGTCTGAATGGTGACTCAGAAATAGAAATGAGAGGATTTGTGCATCATCTGAAAGTGCAGGTGGAAACTGGAGGACAATGTGCGAGCATTGTTTTAAGTCATTAGTGGTGGTGATATCGGTAATAATAATAGTTAACTCCTCTATCGCTGTAGAAATCTAAATTGATGGGAGGTATTGATGAAACAGTTTGGTTGCAAATTCTTTTTACTCTTTCTTTCCTCTCTTTGAATTCTGAAAAAACTGTAGTAGAATTAAATCACACGCAAATTCTCTTTAGTGTGGTCATTTCTACGGAGTGTGGTCATTTCTACAGAGGCCTGTAAGGCCCATTTACCTTCATACCATTCAGAAATTCAACAACTACCTACTTCCTGTCCGCGCTAGCAAGTAAGGGCACTTTCACTGAGATATTCATTTAACATACATTTTTTGAAGTCATAATTAAAATGCTAACTCCAAAGTGGACTATTTGCTGAATTGTAGAATAAACACTTTTACTACTACTAATGATTTTTAATATTCATATTTTGTATTTTTATTGTTGCATGTTTATAGTATGTAATGGCCACACTTTTCTATGGAGTTGGTATGTGGACACAATGTATCTTAATCCTTTGTTTAATCCCTTTTCTGTGCCCTCCTGTTGCCCTGCATCCATCTCTTGGTCCCTTTTCCATTTGCAAAAGATCTATCTTGCTATTTCCTGTTATCTACTTAATTTTTCTCTTTATTTACTTTTTGAATTTCTTATATGAGAAATCATAGATATTTAAGCTTTTTTTGTTTGATTTACTTCACTTAACATTACAAGACATTTCAGAGTACTGTACAGGTCTTTCATTTCCTGGGTTAGGGTAATTCCTAAGTATGTAACTTTTCCTGATGCTATTGGGAATGGCCCATTTCCCTAACTTCTTTCTGGGTGACTAAATTATTAGTGAATATAATGTTGTTGATTTCTGAATGTTGACTTTGTTTCTTCTTACATAGCTAAATTTAGTTATTAACTCTAGGAGTCTTTTGGTAGAAATTTTTGTATTTTTATGTAGAAGATTATGTTATTGTGCAATTATATGAAAAACTACGTATAACTCTGTCTTTGAACTGATAGGAACTTTTCTAGTAGATGGTAAGAGGACATATTTTGAATACTAAGATGAATTCAACAGCTATTAATGAACAATTATTCAGTAGAGTTCACTCTGCAAATTACTCAGGAGAATTTACAGTAAGAAGCCTGTTCTTCACTCTTTGAGAACTCAGATTCCAACTGGGAAACAGCGTAAATAAAATATTGAAGGGAATAATGTAGGGTGGTTTACGAATCCTTCCCAGAGTGCACAACATGTACAACAGACCACACTAGGAATTCACAGAACAGCTACGTGCTGTGAGCTGAACCAATCGGAGGAAGCTTTGGGGAAGAATTAGCCCTGCAGTGAGCCCACAGGAAGGTGGATGTTTTTATAGATGGTGAACAAGGGGGCAAAGGCTCTATGGTTTTGGCGTCAAGCATGGTGTGCAGACCTCAAGGTTTTCCATGAACTCTGCTTTCACTTGGGCTGCGCTTCTTGTGTTTCTCATGCTTTGGAGACTCACACTGCCACTGTGCCATGTAGCCAAGCTAACCCCATCTGAGAACGTCTATTTCATCGCTGCGTTTTCCACACGTCTACACACGTACACGGCGTGCTCCCCACCACACTTTCTCTCCCTTGTGCAGTGTAATGAGGTTGTTTTCCTGCTTAGGAAGAACACTCCGTGGAATCAGCGTTCCACGCACACATCCTCCAGCTCAAAGCCCGGGGAGGAAGCGTGTGACCCCCTTCTCCTCCTGTCTCCCTTCTCCGGGTGCATCTCCTGCCTCTTCACAAACTGCTGCCCTTTGGCAGTGACTGTGTTGTAAGGAGCTCTACCTATTTTGTTTTCCTCCTTGAATCCATGGATGACTTGACTTTCTGGCTCCTGAGATGTTCCCAGCAGTTTCGCGATGTCTTTCACAGATCACGGAAGCTCCACTGACGTGGCCCATCAGTGTCCCGTGGACAGGACAGGTCCTGCTTACTCCTTTGTTCCTACGCTTTCCGTCCCTTTTCCAGATACCCACAGTCATGGGCGCTCACAGATATTATCAATCATTATAGTGAAAAATTAAGTCACAAGTATCTATCGTGCTTTCTAGAGATGGCTCAGCTTGGTCAAAGCTATCTAGATGTTACTAGGCTGGGGGCCATGGCTGTGTTCACAAGCACTGCCTCGCCCTGTCTCACCGTCTCCTTCAAATTCCCTTAGGGAAAAAAAGCCAGCCTAGCACCCATCCTGATGGCCTTTGGCAGCGGTGTGTTCCTCCTGAGAAGAACACAGCTGTGTGTTTGGGCCTCACTGGAGATTCATGGCCCTGTTTTCAGACAGAAGCTCAGTGCAGTCCCAGCAGACTACAGGTCCCTAATGGACGCCCTTCACCTCCTGCAGGATGAACGTGCTCTCCGTCTGTCTTTCTCAGAGCGCTCAGGCTTTAGGCCTGGAATGGGCAGGTCGGACTCCTCCCTGCCTATTGTGAGGAAATATCCTGCCAGCTACCTGGAGTTTTTGTGTGACAGAGAGCAGTGTCTTGGTTGTAGCCCAAGTAAAGCTTTAATATAAACAAGCAGATTGCTCTGAACCTACCAGGAAGCATTCAGTATGTTTCAAACAACCACTTACCAGTAATGCATGAGCAGTAGGAGTAAACAAGAAAACTATTTTACACAATTGTCAGATTTCCCAAAGTACGAATAACCAGTCCAGCGGGCCTGTGAACCGGGAAATGGTAACCATCTTAAGGCTTATAAAGTCACTGATAATGTCTGCGGCTATGGATACAAATTTGGGCTAACCTAAGAATTTCAGATTTATTTCTTCCCGCCTTCAATAGTTTATGATGGTTGTGGAACTGATCCTGGTGAGTAGTGGAATACTGTATCAGTAGCGATGTCTATAAAGTGGTTTTCAAAATGGAAACTTTCACAATACTGAGAAGCACTGTGCTTTGATTAATTAACATATTGTCCAAGTTTTAATTGTGAGAAAAATGCTTTATTAAAAAATTATAAATGCTTCTGCTTAGCAGTTTAAGGCCAGTGTAAGTTGTTCCATTATTTAAAAATCATTATTTAATTATTCTTGATCACACTGGTTCATGAAATCTTGAGACCCATTTTCTTGAAACCTACGTTGTGAAAGCTTACAAACCCCATCCTCTGAGCGGTTTTAAATACGTTGTGTTAACTCCCATGTATCTCTGTTACCACCCTAGCAGCCTTCCACAGTGCTCAGTGAATCCTGCAGACTATTTCCTACCTCTACTGAACTGTTAACGGTTCACACTGCAGGGCAGGTTTTCAGTCCCACACCCAAGAGCAAAAGCCTGCTGACTTTCAGTTCTGGTGACACCATGGAAGAGAGATGTAAGAAGGCCCAGGATGTCCTGCTGGGACATAAAGGTCGGAGCTAAGCCACATTGCCAAGATCCCCACTGCTAACTAGTCAAAATGGACATGTTCCTCGCTATCCTTAATGCACTCAATACCAAATAGATCCCATTCATTCTGAGCAAACAGCACAGCTTTGGTGAAGACGTACTTGATCTGTCATAACGTGTTCATTCTTCTATGAAAGGCACTGTTGCATATATTTTGATTTTACTACTTTTTCATTTTATGTCCTTTCTGATGCCCTTTACCGTTCATCAGCTATTTGCAAAGCAAGACAGCTCGGCCAGCTCTGTCCCTGGGTAAACTTCCTGTGATGGGCTCCGGCCTCTGTGCCGCCCAGAATGCTTATCAGCATAGATAATAATGAGAGCCATTTGCTTTGTCTTTTTATCATGAAGTTCTTAGAAGGTCACATGAGATATTAATTAAATGTTTATCCCCAGTGCCGGGAAACCACCAGGCCCTCAAATCATGTTTGCTTAAGACAAAATTTGCTGCTCAAGAGATTGCTGGTAACCTTTCAGAAGTAAATATCAGGGCGCATGGCATTAATGACTTAATGAAATTAGTAATGGCTTATAAGCTGGTCTTTCCAGAGGTGTTCCAGCAGGAAGAAAGAAAGAAATAGGAGTATCTCTTGTCCGTGTGTGTGTGTGTGTTTGTGTGTGTGTGTGTGTGTGTGTGTGTCTGTGTGTGTGTGTGTGAGAGAGAGAGAGAGAGAGAGAGAGAGAGAGAGAGAGAGAAAGAGAGAGAGACAGAGAGAGAGAGAGATAAGCTACACTGGAATAATAGGTGGGGTAAGGAATACGTGACACTCCATGCAGATATTAAATGTATGGAGGGAAGCACTGGGGTTTGGAAATGAGACATAAATTGGAGTCTTAGTCATTTAACTGTTGTGCAGTCTTGGGGCAGCGATTTGCTCCTCCGGGGTGGCTTTGGCAGAAGTGAAGCCTCATGAAGTTCCTGTGTAGGTAGAGGGGACCCTTATACTGCCTCGTTTGGAAAGCTCTGCAAATGAAACCAAAACAAAACCACACAAAGCGTAAAGCCGCCTCGTATTATGGCATACTATGAATATAACACCAGTAGGTAACATTTCATGTTGGTTTCATCTGCTATCTAGATTAATACCACGTGCGCCAGGGAAAATGCATCAAGATGGTAATTTCTTGTCTCTGTCAAAAGTCCAGTACAAACTTCAGGAGCACCTTGGAATGACAGTTTTTCAAGTTTTCCTAATTGTAAGAATTATCTAAAATGTTTTGCAATTTATACATTCATGGGTCTCCCCCACCACTTTTCTTTTTTTTTAATTCTGAGAGTCAAACTCACAAGCACCCACTGTACGGAAGGGTGAGTGTCCTTACTGGACGAAGGACACTGTCGGGTGCTTTTTTCTTTACTTAGGGAACAACTCACTTGTCTCCATATTTTTTTACTGCTTTCTGTCTCTATGATTTAGGTCTTTGTGAATCATTGTGACTTTTATGTTGAAAAAGTTGTATGCAAAACAAATAAAAGTATATCAGCTATTCCAAGTTTCCTGTTAAAACATACTGTTTCCCCTCATTTCTAAGGAAATGAATGTAAGTGGTTCCCGATGTGAAAGGCCACAATCCATTTCCTATGCGGACTCGGCCACCCCCATCTAGGTAGGGCTTGCTCAGTGAACATCAGAGCCACCCGTTCTGGGGGTGCGTCTTCCACATTAAGTGTTAAATTTGGTGTGTTCACTCTCAGCTCAGCCTTCAGCTTGGTTTGTTTTTCCTTGGTTTTGTGGTTGTTGGTTTTTTGACCCCATACCCTTTCATTCAGCTTCTTAATTAAGTTCTTCATTAGCGTCAATATTAGCTGGGCCCTTCTCCTCTGAGCCCTTGGGGACCCCCCCCCCGCACTGTTTTTGGGTGTTGTATAAGATCTCAAATTTAGTAACAGATGTCTTACAACATTGGAAAATAGAAAGAAAACTATCTGTATGTGTAGATGCTCCTGTCTGTTAAAAATCCGAGGAATCCACCCAAATACTACCAGGGCTACTAAAGGAGGTCAGTGAGGTCCCAAAATAGATAAACGTGTAAAAAGTGATTTTGTCTCTATACACAAGCAACAATCAAAGTGCAATTAAGAGAACATTCCATTTTTAGTAGCATTGTGGCTCAAACCCGTAATCACAGAGCTTTGCAAGGCGGAGGCTGAAGGACACAAAGCCAGCCTGAGCACCTTAGTGAGACCCCATCGAACTGAAAAATGTAAAAGCCCTGAATTCAGCCCTCAGCACCAAAAATCGAATAGAAAGAAAACACCCTCCGTGGGCCACGCCTCCCGTGTCTTGCTGGCCGCAGCTGCATGCAGCATTACAGACGAGAAGGAGGATTGCCTCCTTTCAGGGGCTCACAGAGCCAGTCACGCTCCAGGGCAATCTATGTACCAAGCACGCACACAGAAACCCACGTGCTGCTTTCGCCTGGCCCAGGAGCCGGGTTCCATGTTTACAGGTTCCCTTTTGCATGTGAGGCAGAAGAAGTCACGCCATTTGGCCAAAGCTCCTAACTAGTACGGTGGAGACAGGGCCCAAAGCCCAGCCCTCGGCTCCAGATCCTGCAGACTCACTCTGCAAGCTCATGTGCGGCCAACACCGTGGCAGGGAAGGGCAGGATTCAGAGGCTTTGGACAGTTCACGGTGCTGCCTGGTGTGGGAGAGCGGACTAGAGAGGGGCAGGCTCTGCGCCATCTGGAAATCCGCCCTTCTCTGCTCCTTCCACAAGAATTTCTTCAGGCCTTGGAGACAGTCATCCCCAGCTGGAAAAAGAGCTCCTAAAAAGCTATACTAAGGTTCCAGAAAACAGGGCGACTTTGGAAGTTAACTAGGAAAGCTGGTGAGGTTCACTATTAGAATGGAAAGACAGGGAAGACTCAGGGTCATTATCGTAATGTTCTTAAGGGAAGCACTTATCCAAACGCCAACTTCTTTCTGTATCCATGTAGGTAAATAATCTGAGATATTATTAATGATCAGTGAATCTAGGAATTGTACTTTATAATAGGATCAGTTGCATTTTTGAAACATATATATGTTTATTGAACCAATGATTATAAGAATTATTTCACAAAATATTTACACCATAACATATTTCCATTTCTATGACTGTGAATGGTCAATTTTATATTTTCAGATTTTAACAGAGAAGGTTCTATGAGCATTTTAACAAAGCCTGTTTTTCTTTTTCACTAGTGACAGTAACATGACATCCCTTCAGCAGTGAGACAGGACATCAAGACTTGGACAATTAAGAAAAGAAATTGATTTGGAGGAAGACATTTGGCTTTAACCAGCGTAAAGGCCACATTCTCTTCATGTCACTGACTTTTCTTGAAAAAGGTCTCTTAAAAATACAGCTTCTAACATTAGAACAACATCAATTTTTCCAACATAGCTGGATATTTTTGTGTAAACTCTCGGATGTTTGATAGGTTTGACTTTTACTGCTAAAAATACTAAGATGTATGTGCTATGGAGATATATTTGTTTTTGGTTAAAAATTCACACTGTTATGCTATCACCAATAAAATAGAAACTGAGGATTCTAATTGTGTTCAGACCGGTATTGTATTTTAATAACTCATATTACATTAAGACATTTAAAATAGCAGTCATTCATATAACATAATTCAGAAAATAAAAACATGTACCATAAAAAAGACCGAGTTCTTGTAAATCTACTTAGAAACTGAGAGCAAAATTCAAGACCAAATGTATGAATAAGTGCTAAAATGTTCCAGACCTTGCACGACAAGCTTATATTTTGAGACTGTCCATGCGCCCACTTAATTCTGATAGCCTACCTTGCTTCAAAAGCTTTAGAGCTCTGAAGCTTTAGTTTCTGCACAAGGAGTGCTATTTTATCAGTAGCAGTGCTGAAAAAGAAAGGCTAGTATGCACTTGCTTAGGTGTTTTTGGAGTTGACATCCCAAGTCAGATGGCATCTTGGATCCAGTTTCCTGGAAACATGCGTCTCAGGCGGATTCTCGCTGGCCACCTGCTGTTGAGGTGCTCTGTGACCGTGCTGGCTGCAGTGAGAGAGCCATGAAGGGCAGTGGTGGATCCGCAGTGTCCACAGCCTCCAGGCTGCAGGCCGAGAGTGAGGAAGGGAATCACCAGCTCGCTGTGGTGGCTTTCAGACTAGCTGCTGCAAAAATGTGCATCCTCCGGGGCCCACACCCTACCTCTTCCCCCCTGCCTGGGTGCTGGGGTGCCCCACAGAGCCAGTGGCATTGGAGCGAACCTGGAGTTCTGGGCCCGAGAGCCCAGCGGCCTGTGGCCCTGCTCCGTCTCTGCTGAGGGAAAGACTCTGACTTGGCTGAGCTGAGAGAAGGCAGCTCATGAGGTCGCAGAGTCACTCTGTCTTCCGTTCTCTTTTCTAGCATCACAGGGACTTTTTACACGCGCTTGCCTAGTTTCCAGTGGCAGAGCAGATGGCACAGATTCTCCACCGTGGGTTTACACTACTGTCCTATTTTGGGGTTTCCTGTGGACCTCATGGCATCTTCTCACCACTGCTTCCTCAGTCCACAGGGTCCTGCTGGGTCAGCTGGCCCAGTGCTTGGGCTGTTACTGGACCCCCTGAACTTTCCGGGGAATGCTATCTTGCTCTGAACCCCTCTCATCTTTTACCTGTTCAGGTCCCTTTGCTAATAGATCCGTGCACCATTTCCAGGTGTCCTCTTTTGCTTTGATGGACGTGAAGTAGAAAGTGGAGCACATTTCATCTGCCCTGAGGAAAGGCCAGCACATCCCAAACTGGAAATGAGGGGATGCTAAAGGGAGCAGCCCTTAACCCCTCTAGGGCTCATCGCCCTCCTCTTTGGTGCACCTTTAGTAACAAGCCTCCACATTTCCTGTCGCTTGCAGCTCTTTCGTGTAACCAGTACAACAGTGTTCATGTAATGAAGCCATGTGACGTTATGTTCATGCAGTTGTAGTCTCTGTGGGCTGTACTGTGACAGAAGGTGAAACAGTTAACCCCGGCCTATCGGGGTCATGAGCATATATTATTGTCTAGTTCTTGAATGAAAGCCCACCTCACATATGGTTAAAAAGAACATACTCCCCACGTGAATGTACCTACACTACACATACAGCACAGGTGTAGTATAAATAGTACACGGTGTACTTATAGCATAACTAGTGTAATGGCGGTATGTATAGCATAAAGAGGGCGATGGCAATGCTGATCTGCTCTAGTAGAAATACTTTATCTACCTAAGCAGTGGAAATTAAGGCTACTTTTAGATTGAGTTGAAGTATTCTTCTCCCCATCAGCTTGGAGTCACTAATTTTTGTAGAGGAAAAATTTTATGATATAAATGGGGCTTGGATGGGAACTCAGCCCATTTAAGGGTACAGCTCTAAGCACAGCAATAATCCCTCTCATGCGCCATCTACTCCTAGATTGCCTGGTTTACAGTCTTCCACAGAGGAGCGAGTTTTGAAGACTTACATTGGCTCTTCATCGGGGACTGAGAAAATAATTTTGCATTTTTTGCCAACACCCATGTGCATTCTGATTGTGGGTGACTGAACATCTCAACACACAGGCTGCTAGATATTCAGTATGGGCTGAATGGATCAAATGGAAGCCGGACTTGGAGGAGGACCTCTTTTGTTTACTTGGCCTCCACAAACCTAAATCTGATGCCACAGTAATGCCTCAAACCGCAAGGGGCGATTTCAGTTGGAAGCCTGGGTCCAGTAGTTTTCAAATGACTGGTATTCCCTTCTTCCACGGCCACTTAAAGAAGAAAGAGGCCCCTGGGGGAAAGGTCGCTAGGGGAATCGGGGCTGAAGTGCCTTTTCTTTTTTGTAAGGACTCAGCTGCTCAGTTCTGGGTCTGCAGATTATCTCTCCTCTAGACACTGGGTATGAGATCATGGCTTTTTATTGGAGTGACTGCCCTAAATCCCAAGTTCATGAATCTTTTAACTCTCTGAGTTGTATAAATTATGAAATACCCTAACTGGCCATCCACCAGTCTTCTACATGGAACAGTGTGTCCCAAAAACAGTTATCGTAACTCCCGGGTCAGCCCTTTTCCTCTGCCTCCCTGATCACACGGTTCATTGTGATGTTTCTTGGTTTTGACCCTGTAAGTGCGTGGCTCCTATCTTATCCCCATGTGCCACTGGTGCACCATCTTTCAACAGCAAATCCTACCCATCCTGGCATACTCGGAAGCAGCTACCCATGAGATTCTCAATGGTGATGTCACCCATCAGCGAATTCCTTATCCTTGTGCTAAGTGCAGGGGCGTGGGGACCCTTTGCAGCTCATGGGAGGAGGTCGATTTTCTGCTTTTATGTAGTACATTTACTCTACAATGACATTTCTGTATAGGCTCTTTCATCTTTCCAAGTTCTGAGATATATTAACATGATTTCTGGTGTTTTGTGTATGCTGTTAATCGCCACTATTGGACTGAACTCTAGATCTTTCAGGCTCCACAGTCCCAGAATTTAGTCGTATGCATGTTCCTGTCACTTCTGCTGGTCCCCCCAGTTTGGGTCTGCAGCTTCTTTGGCCCACAGTCCTTTTTTCCCTGTGGCAGAATCCGCCATGGGAGAATCAGTCATGTCTTGGCCCGACTTGTAGGTCTGGAAATGAGGGGATAAGGTAGAGTCAGTAGAAAGTAGAGGCGACCTGCAAAATAAATTTCAAGGCATGATCTCCAAGCTAACAGAGCCTAGTCAGTACGGGGTGGAGTCACCACTTGTATAGGCCAAAATCTTCAGAGGAGACCGAGTTACAAGTTTACAAAATCTACTATTCTAGGTGCCTTGACTCCAAGTTTCATGTTTTTGCAATAAAGTTGTTGAATTTGGTAGAACAGAGGAGTTACGAGTGAGCACTGCATTTTCCCTGGAGCTCCACACCCTGTGCAGGTCCGGGCTCGGCCTGAGCTGGTTCCCGGGGAAGCTGAGAGGGAAGAAGCTCCTAGGCAGTCAGGTTGCTGACTCCCTTTCCTTTCTCTCCTTTCTCTCTCAGGATAGTGAAACTGACCTCAGCTGATTCATAGGTGTGTGCCAGTAGATATCAGTGAAGCACAAGCCTCTTATAATGTGTTTTTATAGTTGTACAGAACACGACTTTAAAAGACAATATTACTTCATGCAAAGTCAATAATCATCAAGGCCCCTTGCAGATTCCTCCACAAGTGACAATGTTTTCAATCCACTTTATCAAAATAGTGAAACGTCTCATTATGAGAAATATTCATTCAATATTAAAATCTGGCAATTAGGGTTTTTTTTTTTCCATTTAGTTGTAGGAGCTCTTTATCTGTTTTGGAGATTAACACCTTGATTTCCCTCCCATTTTATAGGCTGACTTTTCCCTCTGTTGCTTGTTTCCTTTGCTGTGTAAAAGCTCTTAAATTCAAGGTAGCTCTCACAGTTTGTACCTTTGGTACTGTATCCAAGAAATCATTAATAAGGTCAGTGTCAAGGAGCTTTCCCCGTATATTTTTCTGCAGGAGTTTTATGTTTTGCATTTGAGGCCTCTGTCCATTTTGTGAAAATGTTCATGTATGCTACGGTGTGTCTGTTTCATTTATATGTGGATGTCCAGTTGCCTGATGACCTTTAACAAAGAGATTCTTGTTTCTTCTGTTTATATGTGATGTCCTTATCAAAGGACTGTTAATTGTATGTGCCTGGATTTTTTCTGGGTGGTCTGTTCAGATTCCTTGGCCTATTTTTCTATCTTTGTGCTGATGTTGTACTTTGTGAACATCTGTAGCTTTGTAATATATTTTGAAAGAAAAAACTGTAACGCTCCAGCTTCATTTTGCTTCTTTAAAATTATTTTCAGGCTGGGGTTTAGCTCAGCAGTGTAAGTGCCTGCTCGGCAAACATGAAGTCGTGAGTGCAATCCCCAGTACCAAAAAATAAATAAACAAAAAAATTATTTTCATTACCTGTGCTATTTGTGGGTCCATGTGATTTTAAGGATCCCCCCCACTTTTATAAAACAAAGTCATTGTGAATTTGTGAGCTTATAGATGTTATTTATTAACATACACACGTGGAAGTGTTACAGCCTCCAGTCCGTGAACATGGGATGCCTATCCACTTATCTGTATCTTTCATCACTGCTGCGTAGTTTTCAACTTACAAGACTTCTACAATTAATTAAATTTATTCCTAAGTATTTTATTTTTTATGCTACTGTTAATGGGATTTTTTATTTCCATTTTGAAGCAGCTGTTAAGTGTATAGTAATGCACACAGCTCTTGTAGGTTGATTTTGTGTCTTCCAGAGTCACTGGGAACTTTTCTTACTGCCCTGTTTTTAGAATTTTTATATATAAAATCATGTCATTTTCAACCGCTGTCATTTGGAAGCAATGTAAAAAATAATTGCCCTTTTGAAGAATAAATTTGACACACCTCTATCCAGACAATGAAAAATACAGAGAGAGATGCCAAATAAAATCACAGTGAGAAAAGAGTCATAACTGGTCCTGTAGAGATAAAAGTGACCATAAGATGCTGCAGTGGACAACT